TATTTACGTACCAAATGTTTGCTCGTCTTGCAAAACACTCGCAGGCCAGGTTACTCGCGATCCACGGTTTTAGTTTATTTAGCTTCCAAACAAAAATTTCTGGGCATGTCTCGCTACCCCGCCAGAGAGGGCGTCTCGCGCAGCTCTGCACGTGATGCACCCCAGGGTTAGGATCCGCTGGCGTTTGAGCAAAGTGGTTCTCGGAGTGGGGTCCCGTGCCGGTCCGTGACGGTCCACGCGGTTGTTCCCCGCGGGGCTGCGACGCAAATGCCGTGTCGATCCGGACGGCGGACGGCGGACGACAACAACTTTATATTCAAATTGCGAGTGTTGTGGATTTACCCTCCAAAGCACCGCCGGTGGGCTGAGGTGGTAACTAATTGGCGCGTTGTTTACGCGACGAAACTTTTTCCTCGCTTCGTCGGGTGTTGGAGGGTCACGGCACATTTCCGCTCGCGCCACCTAACCCAGAAAGCTTTGTGATGAACGTTTTACCGTCACGTTCTGTGTCGGACGCGAATGAATGTTTTGACATTTAACTTCAAAAATGAACTTTTGTTAATTACCACGGATTAGACCACCCTAAGCCTAAAATCTAAATTACCGCCCCGTACTCGCCCGACACCCCAAAATGTATAGCTGCGTTTAAGAAAAAAATGCTTGCGTTTTCCGGTGAGATGAATCATTTTGTATTCATGCTATTTCGAGAGAGACAAGCGAACGTGTTTTGTCACCAGCGCTGGGTGGGCTGGGTGGGTCTGCTGGGTCTAACACGTTTCAGCAACGCTCCACTCGACGTATATACAAAGTAAAAGCTTGGATCGCGAGCAACTTGGTCTGCGAGTGTTTTGCAAGACGAGCAAACATTTGTAACTAAATATTAGTTTGATAAACGAGCGAGGGTCTTGCGATACGTGTGCACGCTTTGTACTGCCGAGCGTCACGTGATCACGACTGATGTACGAGTGCTTCGGATTACAAACACGGTTTCCGGAACTAATTATGCTCGCAATCCAAGGTTTTGCTGTTTAAGGGTGGCAAGGGCAGGCAGAGGAGCGGCTGCTAACCGCTCGCGCGATTTTACAACAGGTCATTTCCCCGTGTTCGAATTCCAACTCGGGATTTTTTTTTAAATTTTCCGCGCGGAGTTTGGATTTTCTCCAACTATTCGGCACGCGTGTCCCCGCCTGGCTTCCGCGGTTTCCTCCTCCCGTAGCCAAATAAACTGTAACGGCATTTTTATTTGACCAGGTAAAGGCCCGCTGAGATGTTTTTACAGCTCTCCGAATGTTCTAAAAACGCGCCGACGCTGATTCTCATTGCGGAGGTTGAAGAACCGGAGGACGCGGATAAAAATCCACGCGGCCACGGGGAGAGCGAGCGAGAGCGAGAGACGCGCGCAAACTCCAAATATCCAGCAGGTGTCGGGGGTTGGGATCGAACCGACGACCTCCTGCAATCCAGGCGAGGTAGCTAACATCTCGCCACCGCGGCGCCCCCGTGCGCCCGCTAGGCTCGGGGTTAACGAAGCAACAAAAAACAGCGCAGCGAAGCGGTTGGACCTGCCAAGGCGGACTGCAACGCCACCAAGGGGCGTCCCAGCGCATCCGCGGTTTTTTTTTTGGCAGCGCCGGGCCCCGCCCCGGCCATAACCGCGGCACCCTCCGCCGGTTTCCTCCTTCCTGCGCCAGATGCCGGTCGAGGTCACGTGCGGCGCACACGTCTCCCCCCCCCCACCTCCCCGTACTTCCCCCATGCGTTTGGTGCAGCAGCAGCATCAGCAGCAGGAGCAGCCCGAATGGCAAAAATCTCACGCGACTGAATGCCCGCGCGACTCGACCACACAGTTAGGGTTTTCCGCAGCCAACGTGACGATTCGCGGTTGGATTTTTTTGTGGGGGTTGTGTGTGGGGGGGGTGGTGGTGGGGGGTGGTGGTGGGGGGGGTCGAGGTGGTTGTGGGGGTGGGGGGGGCTTCGACCGCCGTGGTTATCCGGGGGGGCGGCCAGATTGGTGTCTTCAAGAACCCTCTGCCACCCTGCAAAGCCAAACGAATTGAACACTGCACAGCCAGATGCGGCGGTTAACCAGGTGGGGCGTGGTAACGACGCGTCCGGTTTTTTTTGCCATCGGTTTGGCTCGCTCGACCGGCGCCGGTCAAAGGGGCAATCGTTCCATCCGCCGGCGGCTTCGAGCGGCTGGGGTACGCGCGGCTCTCCGTGCGCCGCTGCGTCGGACGTCGGCCAGGACACGTGGGATGCAGGAGGTCCGGGATTTTAAAAAAAATCAAATCACCCGTGGAATCCCGACTTCCTGCGTCGTGTGAGAGTAGAGCCGGGAGGAAGGGGTGAATAAAAAAGAGGCGGGGGGGGGGAACATTTAAGTAAGTAAATAAATATTGCCTGAGCAAATAAATAAAGCTGCCGACGTGTCGTAAAAAAATCTTGCGAAATCACTTGACGCATTTAAATTGGATTGCCTTTGCTGTGTGGTGTGGAGGGTTCTTTAACGCAGGGGGGTCCCCAACCCCCGGGCCACAGACCGGTACCGGTCCGTGGCCTGTTATGAACCAGGGCCGCACAGCAGCAGGAGGTGAGGGCGGTGAGTTCGATCACGTGGCCCGCCCCCCATTATTTTATTATTCACCACTCCCGTCCGCGCCTCTTTCCAGCACTGCGCACTCAGTCACAGTGTTGGTAGGAAGTCCACAAGCTATAACCCCTAGTAGCCACAATGAGTAAGCCCACAAGCTCTAACCCCTAGTAACCACAATGAGTAAGCCCACAAGCTCTAACCCCTAGTAGCCAAAATGAGTAAGCCCACAAGCTCTAACCCCTAGTAGCCACAATGAGTAAGCCCACAAGCTCTAACCCCTAGTAGCCAAAATGAGTAAGCCCACAAGCTCTAACCCCTGGTAGTAGCCACAATGAGTAAGCCCACAAGCTCTAACCCCTGGTAGTAGCCACAATGAGTAAGCCCACAAGCTCTAACCCCTGGTAGTAGCCACAATGAGTAAGCCCACAAGCTCTAACCCCCTAGTAGCCACAATGAGTAAGCTCACAAGCTCTAACCCCTAGTAGCCACAATGAGTAAGCCCACAAGCTCTAACCCCTAGTAGCCACAGTGAGTAAGCCCACAAGCTCTAACCCCTAGTAACCACAGTGAGTAAGCCCACAAGCTCTAACCCCTAGTAGCCACAATGAGTAACAAACACAAACGTAGCTGGAGAGCTTCTTTGAAAAGGGGGAAAGACCCAATGATGAACCCCCCCCCCCACGTCCCCCGGTCCGTGAACAAAAATTGTCTTCCACGAAACCGGTCCCTGGTGCCAAAAAAGTTTGGGGACCGCTGCTTTAACGACACAAACAAATGTGGCCCGCCCAGATCACTCCGTGGGTCTAACTCAAAAGATCGACTCATTCTGGTGCCGGCCACCCACCCACCTTACCCCCCTCGTGTGTGCCATTGTTGGCTTTTGTAGGCAGACAGCCAGATTTGTGGAGAAGTGCTCCTGTTACTGGTGAAACGTCGTACTCAAGATTGTAAATGTTGTGGCTTGGCTCTCCAGCGCACAACCGGTGTTGCTGTACTCGTAACAAATTGTCCAGGTTCTGTTTACGTGACAAACTTTACCAATTGGCCGTGTCAGGCGGTGACGGGCTTAACGACGCATTACATTTACACGATCTCACCCCCCAAAAGCAACTATTGTGGATGATAGTGGTCGCGAAACCCTCCGTGTAAATTATTATCGTCTTGATTTAAAGCTTTCGTGACTGCAGTAATTCATATTCTTAGCTCTTTCGGAAAAGTCACGTTGATGGGAAACAATAAAATAATAAAATACATATATTAAACAATAAAAAACGGTCATCATTGATGACTGTTTGTGTTATGGTCGAAACGTCGTGATAATTTTTTTATATTATTTTATTGTTTCCCTTCAACGTGACTTTACCGAAAGAGCTAAGGGAAACAATAAAAATAATAAAATATATAAAACAATACAAATTCTCACGACGTTTCGACCATAACACAAACGGTCATCATCAGGTGTGTCGGTTTGCATTAATTTATTTATTTTAAACGGTGTATTTATTTATAAAAAACCGTCAGCGTCACGCGCAGCGATTTGGCAGTTTATTTAGAAGGACGAGTCCATTTATGTTCTGAAAAGAGGAGGGGGGGGACGAAAAATTAATGTATGCTGTCTGAAAGCCACCGTAAGCGTGAACAATCAATTAAGACCTGAAATGGTTTATCAAATCCTTCCAATGATTGCTAAGCCAGAATCCATCTTCTCGGTTGAAATTGTCTCTGTGCTTGTATATGTGGATATATTTTATTATTTTATTGTTTCCCTTCAACGTGACTTTACCGAAAGAGCTAAGAATATGAATTACTGCAGTCACGAAAGCTTTAAATCGAAATGTAATTATTACCGTCGTCGTCGTCGTCGTCATCCTCGAAGCAGTGTCTTGCGACTGGCCACCGGACAAAGACGGTGGGGGTCGCCGCATCGCGCGGCGCCTTCAGATGCGCTTCGGCGGCCGTCTGGAACGCTCTTCCCTTTCGATGTTCGGAAGCCACTGGGAGCTGTGCCACTTTAAAATCATCATCGAGATCGACAAACTCATTTCTTTAGAACTGCTTTTTGTTGTGTTCAGTTTGTTGACCTTCCCCCGCACCTCCGATTAACGTGGTTGGCGCAACTTACGGTGCGAAATAAGTTCGGCGTCCAATGAGTAAGGGGGCGTCCAATGGGTAAGGCTGCGTCACGTGCAACAAAACGTGCCACGTCGTCACTAGCGCAGCACAACGCCGGTTGTTGTGTTGGAGAGTCAACCCACTACAACATTTGCAATTTGAGTACTACGCACGTGGACACAGACAACGAAGACGATCGCCGCCGCGGCCGCGGCGACGAAAATGATCGCCTGTTACGATGACGACGATGACGACCTTGCCTCTCTCGGCGCGCGTGTGTCGCTGTTTTCGCCAGGCGAGCCTCGCAACACGCCCAGTCCCATCGACCCCGAGAGCATCGAGGTGTCCATCGGCTACGACCCGGACCCCGTCGACCTCGCGCTCTCCTCCGTGCCGGGCCAGGAGATGTTTGACCCGCGGAGGCGCAAGTTCAGCGAGGAGGAGCTCAAGCCGCAGCCCATCGTGAAGAAGGCCAAGAAGAACCTGATCCCCGTCGACCTCAAGGTGAGAAGAGGGGTGAGGGTGTCGGCTGCTGGGTAGACCGAGCGACAGACGGAACGGGCCCGGCCGACAGGCAGACGGGACCGCCTGCGGTCGGTATGCCTGCCCGTCTTGTTTGCCGGCCAGCCGCACGGACTGGCGGGCAGACAGACAGACAGACGGATGGCTTGCAAGTCGCTCTGTGTGTCTTGTTTGCCGGGCCAGCCGCTCAGACAGGTCGGACAGACAGACGGAATGATTGACAGACAGACAGACCAGTCTGTCCGTCGGTGAAATCGGTCAGTCTGTCCGCCAAGTCTTAGCGGTTTGGCTGGGCTTGCCCTGTCCCCTTGTCGGCCTGTCGCTGGGTCTGCCCGGTGGTCACCCATCCTCGGCCCTCTTCTCACCTTGAGGTCCACCGGGATCAGACAGATTAGACGGACAGGCCGACCAACACACCACGGGCACACACGACACGTGAGATGGTAACATGGAGAGGCGGACGGACAGACAGACGTACTGAGGGATGGACACGCACCGACAGAGAGACAGTCAAACGGGCTGTCGGACTGTCAGTCTGCCTGTTTCTCTGTCTCGATGCCTATCGGCCAGTCTGCCTCTCATTCTGCCTGTCTGTTGTTCTCGCCGTCGGCATTGCCTGTCCGTGTGTATTTCTCTCGGGCTCTTGTTCCATCTGTCATTCTCTCTCTCTCTCTCTCTGTCTGTCTGTCGGTAGGTCGGACAGACAGACAGATCTGAGCAGATAGTTGGTTGTGTGCCTTCCTCCATGAGAGGGCCTAACTAATCCCGCCCCACGGAACCGGCAACTGCCTGTGTTCGTCTAACAGGAGGAGCTATTCGGAGCCAAAATGCCAGCCTATCGAAATGTTTTCAGCGGTTCGTAACGGCCCCATCGGAGACATTGTCCACTGAGATCTTGAGGCCCAAAGGTCTCTCTCTCTCTCCCTGAGGGTTCACCGTGACCATGATGCGGTCCACCGATCCAGAACCGCTGAGATTCCGGAGGCCGGAGCATGCGGGGATGGCTTGCGGCAACCCTAGAAATGTCGTAATGCTTGGGGAAAAAAGAAGCAGGTGAAGTCTTACGGGTTGATTGTGTCCGATAATTGTTTACAAAGTAACACGGTTAATAACGAAACAAACTTTTTATAACTTTAATAACCGCAGTCGACGTGGATTACGTGAATACACTAAGCCTTAGCCACAGACTGGCCGACGCAAATTAACAATGCCATCCCGCCAGCCATGTTGCCTGGGGGACGCAATGGCGGTCGTGTCGTACGTGTGACATCACGGTGGTAGTGTCGTACGTGTGACATCACGGCGGTCGTGTCGTACGTGTGACATCACGGCGGTCGTGTCGTACGTGTGACATCACGGCGGTAGTGTCGTACGTGTGACATCACGGCGGTCGTGTCGTACGCGTGACATCACGGCGGTCGTGTCGTACGAGTGACATCACGGCGGTCGTGTCGTACGTGTGACATCACGGCGGTCGCGTCGTACGTGTGACATCACGGCGGTCGTGTCGTACGTGTGACATCACGGCGGTCGTGTCGTACGTGTGACATCACGGCGGTCGTGTCGTACGCGTGACATCACGGCGGTAGTGTCGTACGTGTGACATCACGGCGGTAGTGTCGTACGTGTGACATCACGGCGGTCGTGTCGTACGTGCGACATCACGGCGGTAGTGTCGTACGCGTGACATCACGGCGGTAGTGTCGTACGTGTGACATCACGGCGGTAGTGTCGTACGTGTGACATCACGGCGTTAGTGTCGTACGTGTGACATCACGGCGGTAGTGTCGTACGTGTGACATCACGGCGGTAGTGTCGTACGTGCGACATCACGGCGGTCGTGTCGTACATGTGACATCACGGCGGTCGTGTCGTACGTGTGACATCACGGCGGTCGTGTCGTACGTGTGACATCACGGCGGTCGTGTCGTACGTGTGACATCACGGCGGTAGTGTCGTACGTGTGACATCACGGCGGTCGTGTCGTACGCGTGACATCACGGCGGTAGTGTCGTACGCGTGACATCACGGCGGTAGTGTCGTACGTGTGACATCACGGCGGTCGCGTCGTACGTGTGACATCACGGCGGTCGTGTCGTACGTGTGACATCACGGCGGTCGTGTCGTACGTGTGACATCACGGCGGTCGTGTCGTACGCGTGACATCACGGCGGTAGTGTCGTACGTGTGACATCACGGCGGTAGTGTCGTACGTGTGTCATCACGGCGGTCGTGTCGTACGTGCGACATCACGGCGTTAGTGTCGTACGCGTGACATCACGGCGGTAGTGTCGTACGTGTGACATCACGGCGGTAGTGTCGTACGTGTGACATCACGGCGTTAGTGTCGTACGTGTGACATCACGGCGGTAGTGTCGTACGTGTGACATCACGGCGGTAGTGTCGTACGTGCGACATCACGGCGGTCGTGTCGTACATGTGACATCACGGCGGTCGTGTCGTACGTGTGACATCACGGCGGTCGTGTCGTACGTGTGACATCACGGCGTTAGTGTCGTATGCGTGACATCACGGCGTTAGTGTCGTACGCGTGACATCACGGCGGTAGTGTCGTACGTGCGACATCACGGCGTTAGTGTCGTACGCGTGACATCACGGCGGTAGTGTCGTATGTGTGACATCACGGCGTTAGTGTCGTACGTGTGACATCACGGCGGTCGTGTCGTACGCGTGACATCACGGCGGTCGTGTCGTACGTGTGACATCACGGCGTTAGTGTCGTACGTGCGACATCACAGCGGTAGTGTCGTACGTGTGACATCACGGCGGTCATGTCGTATGTGTGACATCACGGCGGTCGTGTCGTATGTGTGACATCACGGCGGTCGTGTCGTATGTGACATCATGGCGGTAGTGTCGTACGTGTGACATCACGGCGGTAGTGTCGTACGTGTGACATCACGGCGGTAGTGTCGTACGTGTGACATCACGGCGGTCGTGTCGTACGTGTGACATCACGGCGGTCGTGTCGTACGTGTGACATCACGGCGGTCGTGTCGTACGTGTGACATCACGGCGGCTGTGTCGTACGCGTGACATCACGGCGGTCGTGTCGTACGCGTGACATCACGGCGTTAGTGTCGTACGTGTGACATCACGGCGGTAGTGTCGTACGTGTGACATCACGGCGGTAGTGTCGTACGTGTGACATCACGGCGGCCGTGTCGTACGCGTGACATCACGGCGGTCGTGTCGTACGCGTGACATCACGGCGGTCGTGTCGTACGTGTGACATCACGGCGGTAGTGTCGTACGTGTGACATCACGGCGGTCGTGTCGTACGTGTGACATCACGGCGTTAGTGTCGTATGCGTGACATCACGGCGTTAGTGTCGTACGCGTGACATCACGGCGGTAGTGTCGTACGTGCGACATCACGGCGTTAGTGTCGTACGCGTGACATCACGGCGGTAGTGTCGTATGTGTGACATCACGGCGTTAGTGTCGTACGTGTGACATCACGGCGGTCGTGTCGTACGCGTGACATCACGGCGGTCGTGTCGTACGTGTGACATCACGGCGTTAGTGTCGTACGTGCGACATCACAGCGGTAGTGTCGTACGTGTGACATCACGGCGGTCATGTCGTATGTGTGACATCACGGCGGTCGTGTCGTATGTGTGACATCACGGCGGTCGTGTCGTATGTGACATCATGGCGGGAGTGTCGTACGTGTGACATCACGGCGGTAGTGTCGTACGAGTGACATCACGGCGGTAGTGTCGTACGTGTGACATCACGGCGGTCGTGTCGTACGTGTGACATCACTGCGGTCGTGTCGTACGTGTGACATCACGGCGGTCGTGTCGTACGTGTGACATCACGGCGGCTGTGTCGTACGCGTGACATCACGGCGGTCGTGTCGTACGCGTGACATCACGGCGTTAGTGTCGTACGTGTGACATCACGGCGGTAGTGTCGTACGTGTGACATCACGGCGGTAGTGTCGTACGTGTGACATCACGGCGGCCGTGTCGTACGCGTGACATCACGGCGGTCGTGTCGTACGCGTGACATCACGGCGGTCGTGTCGTACGTGTGACATCACGGCGGTAGTGTCGTACGTGTGACATCACGGCGGCCGTGTCGTACGTGTGACATCACGGCGGCCGTGTCGTACGCGTGACATCACGGCGGTCGTGTCGTACGCGTGACATCACGGCGGTCGTGTCGTACGTGTGACATCACGGCGGCCGTGTTGTCGTGTTTGTCCCTTGCATCTGATTGGCTGGTCCAGCTGGGGATAATTACGTAACCCCTAGCAGCCGCCCTCAGCAGAGCGAGAGTCGCGACTTACGATCCGTTTTCTCCGTTGACGTTTGTGACCACGGCTACAATTGTGGCCGTGGTCACAATTTTGCTCCGTGAGCATTAGATTTGTGTACTCTGGCCCACATGGGGGGGTGTACCTCATAATTGCTTTACCCTAATTATCATGGAAAAAGGAGAGCTTCCAGTGCGCGTGCGCGTGATGCACTTTTGATCCTCCTTCGCGCCGTACGTTGCCAAACCAGCGGCAATCGGAGGGCGCGCGGTTTTGCGTTCTCTGGATCGTGACGCAATAAATTTTGGTGCGTGTGCATGCGCGCAGCGTGTAACTTTCATTGGCAGCGGCCGATCTGTTTTTCCGGAGGTGCGCGTCTTCGCTAGTGGGCGGAGGTTTCCTCTCGCGGTTCGAATCCGTCGGGGTGGGCCGCGTCCGCGTCCGCGCGCTCGTTAACGCAACGTCGTCCACCGTTAAAGATTCGCCGTGGTGTCCTTCGAAGCAGGGTGGGGCCCATCGCATGCCGGCGTCACGCATTCCACGTGTTTGCCAAATTTGAGACCTCTTTTCGTTTTTATAAATATATGTGAATGCACGCCGCTAAATGCTCCCATTGGGGAATCTCACAAAGGAGTAATCATCGTCCCCCTCCCCTACTGGCAGACGATATCCGCCCCCATAATGGCGGTTTTTGGGTTGGATCGCGTCAATATAAAATGCGTCGTTAAACCGGCCACCACTCCCCCGACGCAGTCGGTTGCCAAGGTTTGACGCGTAAACAAAACGTGGGTCAATTCGTTCGGGCGCACACCGGTTGTGTGGAACCCACTGCAACATTTGCAATTCGAGTGTCGTGACGTTTCGCTGCTAGTTGCAACAACAACAAGCAGCGGCGTCAGGCGGACAGCCGGAGCGTCACCGCCTGTTTGAAAGCACAACGGCGCCTTCCGTTGTCGATGGCCGGCCCCCGGCCTGCGAGACCCGTGCCTGGCGGCCGATGCGTCACGGTGATCGCGGACCGGCACGGCAAATTAAAACGCAACGCACTCGATGGGGAAAAAAAAAAACGAATGGAATTTCAACGACAACAATAATCATCGTCATAAACGTGACCAACCCTCAATTGGATTCGGGCCGTTACAAAACCTGCCTCCGCTTCCTCTCTCCTCTCCCGCCCCCGCTCTCTCCCCCCGCATCCGTGGGATCCCCACGTCCATCGCGGGCGGGGGGGGGGGGGGGGACCCGTTTGTCCGTGTGCGGCGCGTGGCTATTCACGCGCTCTCTCTCCCCCCACCCCCACCCCGCTCTGCCCCCCCTCCGTATGTACCCCATGCTCGCACACGGCACGCACCACGCACCACGCACCACGCACCACGCACCACGCACCACGCACCACGCACCACGCACCACGCACCACGCACCACGTTGCGCGCGTGCGTCGTTTCGCGCGTGCAGGACGACAGGTACTGGGCCCGCCGCAGGAAGAACAACGTGGCGGCCAAGCGGTCGCGCGACGCCCGGCGGCTCAAGGAGAACCAGATCGCGGTGCGCGCCGCCTTCCTCGAGAAGGAGAACTCGGTGCTGCGGCAGGAGATGGCCGAGCTGAAGCGCGACCTGGGCCGCTTCCGCAACATCGTGGGCAAGTACGAGGCCAAGCACGGCTCGCTGTGAGCCGTCGACCGGCAGCCCCGCCCAGCCCCGCCCAGCCCCGCCCAGCCGTCGTCTCTTGTCCGTCTCGCCCCCGGCGGGACCGATCGTCCGTCTGGCGTCGGCTTCTCGTCCCCCCCGCCCCCACCGCCGCCACCCCCGCCGCCGCCGACTCGTCTGGCCGTCGTCAAGCCCGTCTCGTCTGCTCGTCGGCCGCAACGGCCGATGGATCGGCCTCCCGCCCGCCCTAGCGTCATCACGGTTCTCCTCGTCGCCATCGTCGCCCGCGTTCATCCGTCGCCCGCCCCTTGGGGCCCACGTTGCCCCCCCCCCGCCCCCTCTCTCTCTCGCCGGGTGGGGGGGTGGGGGGTGGCGGGGGAAGGGTGCACAGGAAGCTGCAGCGCGTCGTGGATTCAATCGGTCCGGGCCTCCGGCGGCGATGCAGCGGTGGCGAGCGATGTGAGGACAGCTGTCCCGGTGAGACGGCCGTCCCGGTGAGACGGCCGTCCCGGTGAGACGGCCGTCCCGGCTGAGACGGCCGTCCCGGTGAGACGGCCGTCCCGGTGAGACGGCCGTCCCGGTGAGACGGCCGTCCCGGCTGAGACGGCCGTCCCGGTGAGACGCCGCCGGCCGTGGGTTGTGTTTGCGTTGTGCGCCCGCTGTGTGTTGTAGTTGATAGGGGCGGGGGGGGGGGGGTCGGCTCTTTAGTTTCTTTGCTCCGTGAGCATTAGCCGTGGGAGGGGGGATGGGGGGGCGACCGATAAGAAACCTGGCGGCCGCCACTGCCGACTCGCCGCTGCTACTGCCGCCATTGTGGGGTGGGGGGAGGGTGGGAGGGGGTGACGAGGTTTTCAACCGCGGAGTGAAAAATGTAAAAACTCTGCGAGCCTGGCCGAGGTTCGCTCGCATGATCCGTGACCGCTCCCGCGGACCCGGCCGTTTCGAAGGGCGAGCGTGCGGACCCCCCTTCACGTGGACCCCCCTTCACGTGAAACCCCCCTTCACGTGAAACCCCCCGTCACGTGGAACCCCCCTTCACGTGAAACCCCCCTTCACGTGGAACCCCCCTTCACGTGGAGCCCCCCTTCACGTGGACCCCCCTTCACGTGGAACTCCCCCTTCACGTGGAACTCCCCCTTCACGTGAAACCCCCCTTCACGTGGAACCCCGAGCGCTTTGAACCCTTTGCGTGAACCCCGAGCGATCACCTGAACCCACCCCGGATAGCCGTCGCCCGGCACCACGCCCGACCCCCCCCCCCCCCCCCGAAGCCAACCGTCTCCCGTCGCCCCCCCCCACCCCACCCCCACCGCGTCGCAAGGTTCCACGTGCCGAGCGGCCCGTCGAACCGTACTCACGACGGCGGGGCAACCCGTGCCCCCGCGGTCGGGCGTCGTCGCGGATTGCGAAACGTCGTCGCGACTCCCACGGTTCACCGCCCCCACAATTGGCATCGCCCGGCGGCGTGAGTCTCTCCCGGCGGGGGGGGGGGGGGTGAGGTGGGGGGGGTGAGGGGGGGGGGGTGACTGCCCGCCAAGCGCCGCCGACGCCGCTTTCAAGCGATGCCGGCGGCCTCTCTCGCTCGCTCTCGTCGGCTGCCAAGATGGCACCAAAACCCGCCCCCCCCTCCTCACCCCCCCCCCTCCTCACCTGGGTGTGACGCCCGCAAGCGGCGCACACCTGATATCCCCCCCACCCACTCCCCGCCCCGTGGAAAACTACCGGCCGCGTCACGTGGGCCTGCCGCAGGGAGGAGGCGGGGGGAGCGGGTCGGGGGGAGCGGGTCGGGGGGAGCGGGTCGGGGGGAGCGAGTCGGGGGGAGCGGGGCGGGGGGAGCGGGGCGGGGGGAGCGGGGCGGGGGGAGCGGGGCGGGGGGAGCGGGGCGGGGGGAGCGGGGCGGGGGGAGCGGGGCGGGGGGAGCGGGGCGGGGGGAGCGGGGCGGGGGGAGCGGGGCGGGGGGAGCGGGGCGGGGCCAGCGAGTCGGGGGGAGCGAGTCGGGGGGAGCGGGGCGGGGGGAGCGGGGCGGGGGGAGCGGGGCGGGGGGAGCGGGGCGGGGGGAGCGGGGCGGGGGGAGCGGGGCGGGGGGAGCGAGTCGGGGCCAGCGAGTCGGGGCCAGCGAGTCGCGGCCGTCGCCACGCTGAGACCGCGAGCGCGCTGGCGGTTACCGGCGGGCGGCCCGACGAGAGGGGGATGGGGGTGAGGTGGACGACGATGGGGGGTGAGGTGGACGACGATGGGGGGGATGGGGGTGAGGTGGACGACGATGGGGGGATGGGGGTGAGGTGGACGACGAGGGGGGGATGGGGGTGAGGTGGACGACGATGGGGGATTGGGGTCGGGTGGACGACGATGGGGGATGGGGGTGAGGTGGACGAGGGGGGGATGGGGGTGAGGTGGACGACGATGGGGTGAGGTGGACGACGATGGGGGGGGTGGGGGTAAGGTGGACGACGATGGGGGTATGGGGGTGAGGTGGACGACGAGGGGGGATGGGGGTGAGGTGGACGAGGGGGGGATGGGGGTGAGGTGGACGACGATGGGGGTGAGGTGGACGACGATGGGGGGGATGGGGGTGAGGTGGACGACGATGGGGGTATGGGGGTGAGGTGGACGACGAGGGGGGATGGGGGTGAGGTGGACGACGATGGGGGATTGGGGTCGGGTGGACGACGAGGGGGGATGGGGGTGAGGTGGACGACGAGCTCTCGAGACGATGGACAGAGAGCCGCGCTGTTTTATTTTTAATATACTTTCCTGTGGAAAGGTTGTGGTGGCAATCCCCGATTGTTTAAGTCGGGCTCTGAGGAGCATCGCTCCACTGTCTCCCCCCCCCCTCCTCCTCGTCGCCCCACCCCCCCACACCCACCCACCACCTCGTCCTTTCGCGCTTCTTCGCACGGCGCTTTGCCGGTGTATTTTTGTGTTTGTTGGTTTGTCGTCGCGAGGGAGGGTGGGGACAGGGGGCGACCGCGGGCATCATCGGGGCGACGTTGAATCGCGTCGCGGTGGCGATGCGTGGGAGGCCGCGGTGGCGATGCGGCCGGCGTGGCGAGTTAACGCCGGCGCCGACGGGGGGCCACTCGGGCCACGTCCCAGCCGTGCCCTCGCCGAGTGGAACCCGGTAGCCGACCCCTCGCCCACCCCCCTACAGGCGGGGTGTGTGGGGGGGGGGATGGATGGGCCCCGGTTGAGCGCTCGCAGGCCGCGCGACGCTCTCATTACGGGCGACGGCGGCGGCGCTCCGTGGGAATTGCGTTCTAGGTAATTCCTCCGCTGTTTTGCTTTTCTGCATTCGGACCGCCCGGGGACTGATTATTTTTCCTTTTCGCCGACGGCTGAGAGAATCGACACGGCGCCCGTTCCGATTCCCCCCCCCACCACCTTCGTTTGTGGGCAACCTCCGCTCAGCTGCGCTCCCCAACCTGCACTCCTCTGTTGGCTGAGCGAGGACCGCATCTCGCCCGCTACGCACCGAGGGATTCTCCTCTCTGTCCGCCGTGTACCCCCGGGAGGAGTTCGTGCGTGCCGATCCTCGGGAAGTTCTTGGCAGTGAGAGACGGGGGGCGAGGGTGGCGGGGGTGGCGGGGAGTGTAAAGTTCCGTCACCGTCTGTTTTTCGTTGCCCTTTTATCTTCTCGTGTCACTGTTGTCGTCTTTTAACGCATTTTCGGCCCCCCCGCCACCTCCACCTCCTGCGGTAGCGAGCGGACCGTGCATGCTTGGCGACGGACGTAGGCGAGTCGAACTTCCGCTCGCGCCGTAGGTAGCCGACCGCGCTCGTTTATCGGACGATCGGATTTCTTTTGTTCCTTCCTTCCCCCTCTTCTCTCCGAATTCCGGGTCGTGACCGGCGCCTGCTGGTGCCGCCGCCGCCGCCGCTAGCGGCGTTGTTGTGGTTCGTTGTTCGTTTGTCTGTTGTCGTCGTTGTTGTTGTTCGGCGTGACGACCTCACCCCCCCCCCCCAAATCATCGCCACCACCAACCCCCCCCCCCCCCCGGGGTAGCGTCGTGCCCTCTGGGCGTCCTGTGAGTGAGCGTCACGTCCTGTCCTCGCAATCATCGCTGCACCTCCGCTCCTCCTCCTCCCCCCTCCGCCGCGTAACATGTTCATCGTCATGCTCGGTCAGCTGCTGGCCCGCCGCCACCGCCGCCACGCTAAACACCTCTCACCGGAATCGGACAGCGAGCGAGCGAGCTAGCGGCCGCACGCTCGCGGGGGGAGGGGCGGGGGGGGGATTGCAGAATCGTCGCCGCCGGCACCGCCGCCCGTTCCCGAACTCGCGAAACCCCGGTTGTAGTTGTTGGCAGCTAGCGTGCACGTGCGTGTGCGTTGTGCGGCTTGTCGAGGCTTACAGAAGGCGTGGTGGTGGTGGTGGGGAGAGGTGGGGCGGTCCGGTTTTTACGTCCCCCGCGGCACCACCTCTCGCGCGCGCGCGCTCTCGACGGAGCTCCGCTCCAGCGGTGGGAACAAAAAAAACGATAAACAAACAAACACAAAGTTACTACTACAACAACAACACAAGCGAGAGAGAAATGAGGTGTACGCTGTGCTAGTTACGTCAGGAAATATAGGAAGTAGGTACATGTTTTTTACATTATGAGACCTCCTTTGCCAGTAACAAGATATAGTAATAGGTTTTACCCTTTTGACTGGCACAAAAACTGACACCTTTATTCAAGGCATCATGTTTGCAATAACCACAACACAAGCAGTCAAAATGCAAACAAAAGAGACAACTACAATAATAATATTGGCACTGTCCTTGAATTTGATTGGTCCACACCCGAGACGGCTTTTCTTAGTGCCTAGTCTCCACTGGTGTTGGCGTCTTTTGGTCCAACACCAGTGGAGACTGGGCTCTAAGAAAAGCCGTCTCGGGTGTGGACCAATCAAATTCAAGGACAGTGCCAATATTATTATCAGAGTTGTCTCTTTTGTTTGCATTTTGACTGCTTGTGTTGTGGTTATTGCAAACACGATGCCTTGAATAAAGGTGTCAGTTTTTGTGCCAGTCAAAAGGGTAAAACCTATTACTATAGGTACATGTCTGCCGGGTTTATTTCTCACTGCCCGCTATTTGTCCCCCACGCTCTCGGCCATCCCTGCCACGTGTGTGTGTGCGCGCACGTGCGTCTGTACGCGGGGAGCGGTGGCGCGGCGGTTAGCGCTATGCCGCGCTACGAACCCAGCGACCCCGAGTTCGATTCCCGCTCACGGCCGACACCGGTGACGATTTTCTGAAACCGGGCTCTTGGAATCCTCCCCTAGGTCGACTCGGCCTCCAAATGAGTACCCGGTGCGGTGTGTAGTAAACATCGCGACTGGGGAGACAAAGGCGGCCGGGCGTGGTTGCTGGCCACCCACCCCCTTTGTGCGCCGTTCCGGCCTTCGTAAGTGCTCGCTAGCAGCCCCCTGTACAGCCTGTTGAGGCTGTTCAGGGGGGGGGGGGGTGGGTCTTTGTCTTTGTGCGTCCGTGTAATCGCCGTGTCGTCCGTTAACGTTCAGCACTTGTTTAGAAGCGCGAGCACGAAACTTAAGATACGGGAAAAGTGGTTAATATTATTTGCGTAATTGTACCGTGACGAGATTGAACATTCCCCGCTGCTCCTCCAACCCCCCCCCCTTCCTCCTCCTCCACTTCCCCGTGCCCCCCCCCCACCCACCTCCCCCAGCCAGTCGCCACGGCGGAGTCCGGCACGCACGGCCCCGTTCAAGAAAACGCGTGAAATACGTTTGCGGTTTCTCTTCGGGCTATCGTGTCGCGGCCTCGCTACCCAGTGTGGGTCACGTGTGTTCGTCTCCCCCGGCATTAACCCCCGACCTGAACGCGCTGACCAGTGGGAACCTTCCCGAACGGGGGGGGGGGGGCGGGGGGTGGCGGGAGAGCGACTTGACCCAGCCGGCGCCGCGCGCGGTTGCCGCTCCGTGCGACCCGAGACGAACTCGCGAGAGGCGGAGACCTTGGGGCGTGGCGGCGACCCGAAGCTTGGAAGGCGAGAAGCAGACAACCCGCCCCCCCCGCCGCCGCCCCTGCCCCCCCCCCCACGCGTAAACTCGTCTCGCCGGAGCGGTGTTTGACGTCGGTGGCGAACGGACACGGGAGGGAGGGGGGTGGGGGGGAACGCCGGAGCCGTTCCCGCCGCCTGAATCGGTCTCGGCCGCTGCCGCGGGAATTTTTTTTCTTTTTCCCCAAGATTCCAATTTTGACGTCAAGATTCTAATAACGCAGCCAAGGCGGGTGGCCAGAGTTGCGGCGCTTGGGACCGGCCCCAGGGCTCCCTTGAGCCGGAGGCACCGAAGCCTCCACCACCCTGGCTGAGAATCGATCGCGGTGGGAGGGGTAGGGTGGGGGTCAACTTGCATTGACCTCCACCCCTCCCCCCATCGCGATAACAAAACGCGCACCGCCACCCGCGACGTTGGTTACGCGGTCACCAGTGCGCACCTCCGTCGCGCCAACAGGTCTCGCTTAGCGGCGAAGCATCAAGCTCCGTCCCGACGTT